AGTATTTTGGAACTAGGTAGTATTACCAGAAATGAAAGTATAGGATGGTTCTTCTCCATCACTTGAACCTAGAGTATAGAATGAAAGGGAAGAGTTAGCAACCATAGTATTGGCATTATTATTCAAATCATAGTTGAGAGTTGTCAAACATTGACAAGAATCACCTGTGGTTGAACAAAAACCTCTACCATTACAAGAATCTGGACCTGTACATTCAAATGCATTAGTATTAGAAGCCAAAATGGACAAGATAACTAGGGTCACAAGCATACAAACAGTAACCTTACAGAGTTTTACTCTGTTAGAGACCATACAGTAGTCAAGAGACATTTTTTTGTTTGAATTGTAGTAATAGCATCCAAAGTGACCTTTTTAACTTGTTTGTGAATTTTGTATCTCGAGTATCGAATAAAGTTTTGTATGTTGTAAACTATTGCTTACTTGATGGTGATAGATGACATTAAGATACTACTAACATGAACTAATCTACTCGCGAATCTTCCATTTATGGAATGCAATACAAAACTGTAAGAGAAATTGCTGATACAATATTATCCAAGGATATTTGTTTTGGAATTTAGAGAACCATTCTGGAATTTTAATGTTCATAGTAATGCATCTCGTCTCCAATACACTTCAGTCGATAATTAGATTGAATGATAAATTGGTTAACAGATAGTGATTAAACTTCTTTTGAACCAATTGCTCTTAATTGTTGATTCCTCGATGGTTTCAACAGCAATATTCGTTGAAAATGTAGCGTACGAAGAATAATCGTGATGGGAAGAGATTGCAGATATCACCAATTAGATGAACACGGCCACAATATTCAAAATGCATTATTTAAATTAAATATTGTGATGAAGAGATGCATCTGAGATTAATCTCTTGAATGTTGATGAGCAGTGAGACACTGCTTGTTAAAGTTGAACTCTCTCTTGATGACGATGATTGAATTGGATACAATAGACGAAGCCGCCATCTGGTGAAGTAAGTAAAATAAAATTAATAATGATGAAAGTCTATTTAATGCATTGTTTTTTCTTGATTTTGAAAACGCAACGGTTTTTGGTAAATGCCCCGAATGAGTTGCTGTGGTACCATTAATTGGTGCAAAATGACTTTATTTTTAATGGAGTTTGCTCTATAAATTTTCAATTTTGCTGACCACTTTTGGTCGTTTTTAAATTTTCATCGCTGTACAGATTAGGTGGCAAGGCTTAAATTTTAAAATTGACCAAAATTTGGTACCTAATTTTCAAAATTAAATTATTGGACCAAAGTTTTTTAATAAATTAATAAGTTTATTATTTCACAATGTCCTGACTTGGAGAAATTTCTCCAAGTCAAGATTACATTCAAGATTTCAACAAAGGAGCATGATAACTCTGCATTTAAATCCATTCCAGATGATAGGTATTACAATTATAGTACATCAACAAGTATCAGATTTCAACTATCTATTAAAGTAACTTACTAGAAGAAAATCATCTCAATAGCATTGCATGACATTTAAGTAAGGGTCTAACAATAAGCTTTTCATTGATATCCTTGACGAGCACAGCAGGACCAAGCACTTCACTAGGGGAAATGGAGTGGCTGTCATTGGCCAACACACCATTCCTAATAGGCCTCACATGAATGTAAAACTTGTCTTGCATTTCAAGGAACTTGACAATGACAGCAAAACTATAATGATGAATTACTAGTATAATATTACAAAAAACATACCTAAATGTTATTGAGCATTTTGAATATTTCATAATAAACATTTTACCTCATTGTTTACATATGAATCAAATACATTAAACTTACCTGAAATATGAATGAATTAATATCAATGAATACCAACTAATGAATTCCGTTATGTCAATTCTTGATGAATAAATTATAATGAATAGAAAACATACCTATTGTTTGCGAGTTGAACAATGTTATTGGGGTGGAGAGTTTTCTCCATAACAAGAGCCATCCAACATGGTGTGAACGATCTTACCCTTTGAGTGTAAACACTGATACAGTTGAATGATACATTAAAGATATACGTACATGCTTGTTGATTAGGTCCAGCACTTTGGTCCATCTCCTTCTTGTAATGAACAGTCTTGTTTAGACTTTCATCATTATCATGCTGATATGAAAATTAGGAATGGATTCAAAAGCTCGATCAAAACCTCCATTATCATCAAACAACTCACCGAGTGATGTCGAATTACTTCCTCTTCTTGCTGATCCATTATGAATTGCTCCTCATCATCTGATTCCGAGGATGAGAATGAAGCTCTCAATCAAATCATCCTCCATTAAATCTTCCTCATCAACTTATTCACTCCTTGTTGTTGTTTGATAAGGAATTTATTGCCTATCAATTTTTGATATATATTTTCAAACGTATGGAGCGTTCCTTTGTGTTGGTGTTTTCCCCATTTTTTTAGGCTTTGAAATAAGGCGCTAAGATCCACTCACTCATACTGATGATCGCAATGAGGTAGATGAAGATGGATCGAATAAGAAGCTTATTGATGTATCATCACCTTATGATGATAGCAGTCGGGTGACAGCTGTTTATGTGTAAATAACATCATTATTACTATTCATCTATTGTTAGTGTTAATATACTCAATTCATATCCATTCATATCATATGATTTCATAGCTTGATAACCATTATTAAGAACAGTGTGGTCCACATTTTTGCTCTAGATTTAAAATTA